AGTTCGAAAGACTGCGCATATCCATCGACTGTCAACCATAAAATTAATTTCCCTAACGTTTTAGTGGATCCCTCAATGGCACTTTGGATTGCTGTATCCGCTTGCTCTAGTCTTTCTCTAAATTTCTCGGCCAACTTGGGACTAATTACCGAAACCATTGCCCCTTTATCGAACAACGCATAATATGGCCGATCCGCAATGACTACTTCCAGAAACTATCTATTTTTGGGTCTTGTCCCATCGACAATTTCATTTGAGTCGGGAGAGCCTGCTGCATTTACTGCAGCTTCTCCCCTCTCCTGGACTTTACGTGTTAAATCCTTTTCAAACATTCTTAGTCCCTCTAACACTAGGGGCATAATCGAGAATTTCCACAGAAACCACCAATAGCTCCGGCTATTGGAATTTATTTTAAAAAATTTTGTAAGGGTAATTTCCAAAGATTAAATATTAAAATTTAATAGATTGATTGCATCAAATACCCAAACTTATATAACAAAAATTATCCACAAAAATCCTAAATTAACAAATCTCAATGGGGGGAAGCTGAGAAAGAATCCTGATGCTGTATTTCCAATTGCGAATTGTAGATTGGAAAATTCTCATAAACCTCGTCTTCGCGTCTCTTGTGAAATTTGAACTCCAACGGTCAAACGTTCGATGCAACAACCAAACTCACACAAGAAACAATTCCAACAAATGATTTAAACACAAATAAACAGATAATTAAAATTAACTTAAATTTATTTAAACACACAAAAAAATAAATTTTAATGATACACGAATTAATAATAATTAATATAAAAGAAAAAGGCAAATAATTCGAATAATAATTAATCTTCTCCAAGAAAACGATTAATGAAAATTAAATTACAAAAAAAGAGTATAACAAATCATTGTCGGTCTTTCCAAAACTTAATCTTAATTTCTCGCGCCATCTCAGGAGGCAAATTTGCGATGAAACGCTCCAAATGCATTATCTGCTCTATCAAGAGCACTTTCTCCTTGCGAATTCTGATCTCTCCTTCTCTGTCGCCGCTGGTACTCGGCCCAGGTTGAGGTTCAGGTGTACTTGGGGGGAAAGAACTACAGATCCAATGCTGTGCTCCTGTGAACGACTCTCGTAAAAGCAAACCCGTTCCTCACGATGTTGAGCATATCCCACCTGATCAAATTTCCGGATCATACATTCCCTATGAATGCGCCCGTAACGAAGGCAATTACACAACGTGACTCCTTGCCGACCACAATTCTTAGGGTGCGATCCCATGTATGCAGAATACGTCGACCGAAAGCAGAAAATCATGAGAGTGAAAAGAACAACAATATCTATCTATCTCTTTCGCACTCATGATTTTCTGTTTTCGGTCGACGTATTCTGCTGTAATGGGATTGCACCCTTACAAAAGGTAGTACTCGGTCAAAAACAGTCCCTGGAACGATGTTCCCGTTGCCAGCAATTGTGACATGCTCCAGGAGGGGGGTCCAACAAAGGGTCAGTGGGAATGGGGTCCAAGTTCGAAAATATCCTACCCGACAGACGCATTGGCAACTCTCGATTAACCACTGGGGTAAAAAAACGAGAACCTATCAAGGGAATGATCTTCTCAATAGGGGGGAGGTCGCTGAACTTGGGGACATACTGCTTGATGTCATCCTCTCCGAATCAGACGGAAGGGGAGCATTGCGAGGTAGATTAGCGTTCGGTGTGCGTTTAGGTGGGGGGCTATGGGAGCTAACGTAGTCCCAATCACGGGCACGGTGTTGTCTCTCGGCAACCAGTTGCTCGCGTAGAAACTGCAGACGATTGATTGTAACATCGTTGCCCAACGCCTCGTCCAACTCCGCCACCGCATTCAAGCTCTCCAACTCCTTCTGATTCTTCAAAGGAAAGTAAACCGCTTCCTGCCCAACCAACTCCAGTCTTACCAAATCATCCTCCTCGGCACTCTGTAAAGGGGGGACAAGGGCAAAACTTCGTCACGACCAGACGGGCCGCCAGGACCTCTCGAAGGACCAGGGGCTTCGATTAAAGAAGCCACACTCTCCTCTCCAACTCCCCGCTCCCGCAGAACTCTATCAAAAAGTTGATAAAATTCCGCATTCGTAGAAGGACTCGTATCAACTGCAAGTCCAATCATCGTCTCAGCAACGTGCGCTCTGGCAGCTGTCGCCACTACTCTCCTTCCCGCTGACAATCTCCACATACCCTTTGAGTCCTTACGAAAAACTACTGACCTGACTCAAGCCTTAAACGTAGAAGTATCAAAATTAATTTTACGCGGCATTGAGTCTTCTGTCAAAACCAAAGAAAATAAAATAATGAAAAAAGAAACCACAAATAATACAAGCAAAGAGACACGAAAAATCTACTAATCGACCAACCATACAACAACACAACTAATTATTTTGACCACAGGGGGCAAAACGCTTCATATCCGAGACGTGGACATTAGTAATTCGCGTCACATTGGATGGTAAAGGGCTTAGCACTGCTTTGTGACCAACCACACCACATTTACTACAAATTCCCAAAAATGGCTCTATACTGCTATTATTAGCACTACTACGTAATCTTGCTCCTTGTTGTCTACCATTATTTGGAGGATTTGCCCTATTTGCACCAACCTGGGGGGCACCACTATTTACTGTCTGGGCAAGATTGGTCATGGAAATGGGCAATTGGGCTAGTCGGTTTGGAATAGAAAAAGGCTGATTTGCTACCTTTCCCACCACAACACTAGGCTGCCCTGCTGGATCCGATATTGCATTCACTTCAACCTTTCGTTCAGATTTTTTAGTTTTGGACTTTCTCATTCTCTGCTTTTTCTTATCCGTACCCAATTCTATGCCTGAATTTTCCTCCCCACTATCCGACAAGGAATTTTCTAACAGCGCGTCCAATATAGAAGTTGAAGCGTTGGGTGCAAGAAGGGCGTTAGGCGGATAACGCCCGTTTTCAAATTATTGAATGAGAACGATTACAATATCCTCTGGTTTTTATTATCAAAAATTTATTTTGATATGAGACTTCTTGACGATGCTAGGAATAAAAATCTGCGCGAATGTTACATAATTTTGTAACTTTAAACGTTTTCCAATACAATTTGCATGTAAAAACAAGAGAAAATCGACAGTCCTTTACAGAAATTTGGTTAAAAAAAATTTCTATTTGAAATGTTCATTTTTTAATAATTAGAAATGATTTAAGGATTAATTATATGTTAAAAATAACGAAAATCACAAATCACAAACGAATATCTCAAAATATTCAAAAGTTAAAGTTATCTCAAGTTTAAACTTTAAATTTTACTAACGCCTAAAACATTGTGTGGTTAAGCATGTGGTTGGGTGCAAAAAGGGCGTATAAATTGGTTTTGAAAAACATTATTATTTAATAGTTAATTGCAACTTTCCCTTAATTTTACACTTTAATTTGATAGCCTAATAGTGGACTAATTAAATAAAAAATAATTTATTTAATTTGCATGCACAGTTTTCGGGCTTTTAAAGTTTAAAAACTTAAACATGAAATATCTCCGTTCGTCGTTTTTTGTTATACGCCCTTCTTGCACCCAACGCTTCAGTTTTAACATTTACTTTGGGCGCTGCTGTAGGTAGGGAAGAACATTTTCTCTTTGGATGGACGAGGGACATAGCGCTTGTCAATTTCCTTGATTCTTTCATATTGACGTAAATGTTTTTCCAAATTCAAAACAGTATTCACCGTATAGGATGACACATGACGCCTATACTCAGGGATTAAACCACGATAAGCTATTCTAAGCATTTCAAAATCAGTCATCGGATTTCGAAAATGCTGGGCAATAGAACGCAAACTAAGGAGATATTCAGAAATTTTCTCTCCTTTGGCTTGCGTTCGGGAATTTAACTCGTCGTACACGTCTTCGTCATCCACGGTTTCTAAAAATTCTCTCCTGAACAACCTTTTGAAATGTCCCCATGTTTTGATTTCGCGCTTAACTACACGATACCAATTGCTAGCTACTCCCCGCAATACACTAGACAATGCGTGTAACAAATCACTATCACAAATCTTAATCCTTTCCTTAGCGCTGACTTGGGGAACTCGGTTTCGAAACTGGCACGGACTCGCGTTGAAAATAAGTCTTAGGTAACGTGTCTGCATTTATAGACACACAGTTCTCAGAACCGGGTTCAGACCCCACGAGCTAGACACGTAATAGGGTAACGAAATACCAGAAGGGGGCATGGTCCAGGTCACGCTAGTTAGGCAAAAACTTGTAGTCCCCCGCGACGGTTGTCATAGGGAAAGAGTTGGTCGTAGAACTAGTCACGGTTATAGTAGAGATCACAGGTGCATTATTTTGCTCTGTGTTGTTCACGATCGTCGGAACAGAATTATTTTCAGATGCCGGTATTTCTATTACCGTGGAATCCAAATCAGCGAACGAAACATCATCTGTGACACTATTGTCCAAATGCACCACTTCACGTGTGCCCGGACTAAAACGACTTGCATTGTCACCAAACGCTCCGACTAAAAAAATTTGTCTGGACTCGCCAGCAACACATTGTTTTTAAAGAGAAATAACCTAGCTACAATTTAAGCAACATTTTTTTTATTCAAATACTAAATAGCCGGCAGCTCTACCCGTTCTCTATCAAAAACGTACAAATTGAAATATTTTATAAATAAAATTAACTAGCCAGCACCCCCACACGTTCGCTATCTGAAATCCTCAGTAATCAGCGACCACTGAATAATAAACTTTAAGTAATTTAGATCGATTTTTTTAAAAAATAATCGGCCATGTTGGGTCTAAAATTTACAATTTTTTAAATCTGATGTCAGATTCGTAATCAGCGACCCCGAAAACCCCTGAGTAACATGTTTCAAACAAATTTAAAGAGATTTTAACGTAATTGATTTATGTAAGTAAGTTGTTAACTTACTCGTAATAAGAAACGGCTTTTTTATTTCATTATTATTTTATTTATCGCACATTTATTTTCAGGAATTGATTGCAACGGGTGGCGTTTTATCCGCAAACGCCGACAGGCTTGTAGTAAAAAGAGTTATCTTAAGTGGACATCCCTTCAAAGTTCATAAACGATCAGCAGTTATCCGATTTATGTTCTTTAATCGTGAAGATATCAATTGGTTCAAGCCTGTCCAAGTTGTTACGAAATTCGGACGAAGGGGACATATCAAGGAACCGCTAGGTAAGAAAAAATAAATATTTTTACTTTTAATATTTCAGACCTTTATGTCTCTTATCATGCCCCTGGATGTCTGAGAAGACTGACCTTTTATTTTTCAACTAAAAGCGTCCATTGCTCTTGAAGCAATTGTTACGTGACATAAAACTGATTCCCAGTGAACGCTTTTGTTCGGGATAACAAAAAAATATTAATTTGAATGAATCAGCGACATCTTGTTTAATAGTAACATATTGCTTTTCGTTGAATTTTGACATTCGACAAACTAATCGAGAAAATAGTATAGTGGAAGAACAAAATATTTTGCATGTAACCACTGCAGATCTTTTCTCTTTTTGTTGAGCTTGAGAGATCTGCATGATTGATCTAGACGAGCACTTCCAAGAAGAGGGTGGCATTGGAGGTGTAGGCGAAATTGTCGGGATCGACGAATGTAAAATTGGTCGTCAAAAATACGAGAGAGCTCGAATATTGGAGGGTTTCTGGATCCTTGGAGTGATTAACAGAGAACATTCTTCCAACTATTGGTTGGAAATCTGTCCCGATAACAAACGAGTTTAAACAAACTTGATTAAAAAACATGTTCTTGTCGAAACAGAAATTCACACTGATTGTTGGATAGACTACATTGATTTGCAACAATGTGGTTGATAATGGTTGATAATGTAGAATATTAACCATAAGTTTATTTCTTTTATAAGAAGGTTTGCAAGGAGTCTTGGAGGTTATGAATCTTATTATTTTAACGATTGTTTCATTTTACTGCTATTTGGATACTTTTTTAAAAATTTTTATACTACCGGTTACTTTTTTCCTTTTTTGAGAATTTAAACTACTTTAAATCCGTTAATAGTTAAAATAATAGAAAATATTCTCAAAAATTTTAATGATATTCTTTGAAACAATTAAATTGTTTTCATCATAATTTTTCAGTAATAAAAATCTACTGAGAAATTCCATTATTTTCAGTACTATTTTAATAAAATGTTATAAAAGAATGTAATTTAAAAAAAATTATTTTTATAAAATTAGTTGCAATAATTCAATTATATAGAGGAGACTGGGGCGAAAGGTTAAACTGTGAAAACAGTTAAAATTCATTATCTTTCAAACGGAAATAGTTAGAGTTAAATATAAATCAAATGATTAATAAAATAAATTTTATACTTTGAAAATATTGTTACTGTAACTTCGTCAAAATTATTTTCATCATTTAAATTCAGTTATTACTATTTTCTAGAATTTTTAACTAAAATTCTTTTCTGAATCAATTATTTTTAATTATTTTTGCAAAAGTGTTTTGAAAATTTTTTAATCTATTTGTTTACGGCTCAATTTTATGAAATTTCGATTTTCGGTAATTCTTCATTTGAATACAAAAATAAATAATTTATTGAATAATTGAATGTATCTTAAAATTGAATTTTTATGAAGAATTTTATTTACAACTTTTGAAAATAATAAATTTCTTTTAAGGAATATAATTAAAATTTTACAGAAAATTATTGATGAATTAAATAATTTTATCACAATTTTTAAAAGTAATTGAAAAGTATTAAAAAATGTTATTGCATTTTAGTTTAGATATTTGTTAAAGTGAAATCAATACACCGTGACCGCATAACAGATTACCTTTCGACATACTTATCGATATAAAAATTCCATTTCTTCTTACCTTTAAAAAGAAATTTTTAGTATTTTTTCCCTTTAAAAGAATTTAAATATTTAAACAGTTTCATTACTAGATTTTTATTGCAAATTTTATTAAGAAAAAATACATAGTTACAAGGATTTAAAATTACAAAATACTAAACTTAAATTTAATATCTCAGATGGAGAAAATCGATAGACCTTGGCTGTAAATCCATTACATGTTTAGAAATATATTTCAATTTGAAAATGTTCTTCTTCACTTAGGCAATAATACTTTTTAACTAATAGAAAAAATTTCCTATTTTATATCTTCGGCAAATTCACTTTTTATAAAATTCATTTTCTATCAGTTCAATACGAACTTAGCAAGTGTTAGCAAAAGATTTCTTTTGCAGTTAACAATTATAAAATTACTACTTAATGCTAAGCATATTATATATTTTAAACTAAATATTGAAAGCTTCTTTTTATTAAAAATTAAGTTTACTACAATGATGATAGTTTATTTGATAAAGAGACAACGATTTATTACCAAACACTGAATCTAAACGGTAAGTTTTAGAAAAAAAATTATGTTTTACAATTCTTGATCTACTTTTTAGCATATAGGGAAAGTTCTAAAGAGTTTCTAAGTTGATTTGGTAAACAATAAATTACACAGCTCCACTACAATTACGAATTCTTAAACAAAAAGCAAGCAAGTGACATAACTCTTACGGATTTAGGAAGTTAATAGAATTATGCGTCAGATAAGTTTAGCTGAACGTTTTTTGAATTTTCAAAATTGTAGTATTGTTTGATACTTCACAAAACAAGCTTCTTTAAATTTTCATCAATCATTCGATATGTTCAGCTCGTTTCTTGATTTGCAAAAATGATATAAAGAATAAGAAACTCAGATTATTTTCTTCCTGAAATTGTAACCTTTAATTTGCGCCATAAAAACTTAAAAATATTAATTTGTTTCCGAATTCCGACATACAAAAGCATTAGGCAAATCTGATCCGACGCAAATTTTTATAAGCCCTCCAAATCCGTAAAATTAAAGTCACCATCTTAATTTTTGTCCAAGAAATTCTGATTTTAGGAAAGAATTGTTATTATCCATTAACGATTTCCGACGGTAGGGTAGTCATTATTTTTAACCTCCGATTAAATGTTTTAATAGACATTGTATTAAATATATTCTTCTTTTAATTTCAGTAACGAATTGCGAAGAATTGTATTGAGTTCAATTTCAAATATTTCAAGAAATGAAGATAAATTTTGTAATAATATTGAGCTTACTTTGTATTTGCGAAAGTAGTAATAATAACTCAAGCCTGTCAAAATGTTTAGCGTGCTTAAAAGAATATTGCAAAACAGAATTAAATACATTTTATCAAGTAATGATTATTACGAATAATACCAAAAAAGTAAATGACGAAGAAATATTATCGCTTTTGATGAAAGAAACATCTGTACTGCAGGTAGATTTTCATAATACTACAGAGGAACTACTAATTGATTCAAAAATAATTCGAATGGTGAAGAAACCGGAATTAACGACATTGTTCGTAATCGCTAATTATATTGAAACAGCTGCAGATGTTACAAAACTGACTAAAGCAATCGATTTGATAGAGTCAGCATCTTATAAGAATAGACATCCAAAATGGTTGTTTCTTCTTTATTCAAAACAAAGGGAGCTGAGATTTAAACAATTTCTGACCACCATGTGGAATAAGAGATTCTTAGACGTTACAATTCTACACATTGTATCAGAAAATGAAGATAAAACTAAACATTCATTACTAAGTAATGAACAGTTTTTTGCGAATGTCCATCAATTTAATCCTTATTTGGAGAAAACTACAATCAAAAAATGTTTCACTGGTGTCAAAATGTTTCCTGATAAGTTACAAAATTTAAATGGTTACAAGATAAAATTTGGTACGTACAATCAACCATTTACAAATTTTGTAAAAATGAATGCATCTGGTTACCCTATAAAAATGAAAGGTTTTGTTATTTCCTATACTAGCCTTTTATCGGAAGTGATGAATTTTAAACTGAAATTTGTTTCATCTAATGAAAAAGCTTTTGGAGGAGATTATTCTCCCAACAAAAGCCTTACAACTGGTTATTATAACCAATTGGCATACAATATGATTCAAATTGGTGCTTTTAATACAATATTGTTTCCAAATTCTGAGTACAGTTACGTGATTTTTGGTATGATCGAAATAATCGTGCTTGTTCCTATTATAATGGAAAATGATAAGGAGATTGAGGGAAAATTATTACTTTTTCTGACTACTGCAATGAGCCTCTTAGTTCTGGTGTCAGTTTGGATAATTACTAGAATTTTGAAATTTGACCGTCACTTTTGGAAACTTATGTACATTATCCAGATAACTCTACAATTGTGTGCTCCTCAGGAACCACGGAAATTAAGAGAAAGATTAATTTATTGTTACTTGCTCATTATAAGTTTTGCATTTTCTTCGAACTTATTTGCAGCATTGACGGGGCTGAAATTTAGCAAGGAGAGAGAATTGAGTTTTGATACAATCAATGACGTACATGAATCTTATTTGCAGCCAATTGGATTTATAGGGATAAATCAAGCTGGTAGTACTTTCGCAGACAATGAAATCAAAGACGAGTTTTTGAAAAAACATTTCGTATATGTAGATTTTCTTGACATCTGCGAACAATCCATTGTAAAACATAAAAATATTAGTTGCACAATGCAAAATAATGAGGCGGAAGTAATAATTCGAAACACAAGAAGTGAAAATGGAAAACCACAAACTAAAATTGTTAAAAAAAGTATAACTACTACATTAAGTGTCATTTATCTTGAAATTAATTCACCGTATTCACTAAGGTTTGAATACATTTTGCAAAGAGCGGCACAAGCTGGTTTAGTTGAAAAGTGGAAGCAGGATGACACACGTTTTTTCAGTAAGCCGAACATGGATTACGGTCCAAACGAAAATTTTCAAATTACAGAAAAGGAACTTCTTCTACTCATAATAGGATTATCTTTCCTGGGATATTCGCTTTCTGTTGTTGTATTTTCTTTGGAAATTTTGATTTTTAAATTTTCGATTTAATGTAAAAAATAATTATTTGTCTGAAAGAAATTGGTTTAAAAAATAATTAATCATTAATCAAAAATCAAAAAACAAAACTCTACTAACTAGGGACGTTAGGTTTACTAAATAATGAGAGGAATATTGTTACGTAAAGGGAATACAAACTACAATTTTTGGGGTCATGTTTTATAATTTATTTAAGTATCAACGGGCTTGCAAAAATAAAATTGCATTTGCATCTTCGTTCTGTCCCACTAAATCCACACC